AAGCCTAGTCATTTTTTAAATGAATTAACAACTAATAACGATAAGGAGGCAAGTATTGTAAATCTATTTTTATACAAAATGTATTCGATTAATAATATATAGTTGTTAATTACTTATTTTATAAATTTTAAGAATAATGTTGATAATGAAAACTTAATGTTAGTTGATGATGAAACAGAGTTATTAATAGCAGCAGACCCGGAGCAAATTGAAGTTGAAAGAATTAATGAAATCGATGATATTGATATCAAAAAAACCAACGAAGCCTCTCTAATTAATGCTACAAATGCAGAAGTATCAGTTTTAAGTCCATTGCTACTATCGGTTCAGAAATGAAGAACTGCAGCAATTAGAAGCCATAGACATAATTCTAACAAACGAGTAAGTCTAAATAAATTACATAATAATTCTGAATTAGCAAAATATTAACTATGTTTTAAATAGTTTAAAGCAGAGTGATAAAATCGTCAACTCATCTTCATCTAAAGTTACTATACGATATGAACTTGAAACCCTTTTTTCAGAAAAACAAGCTGATTGGAAAAGACGAGATTTTGTAAAAGCCTGTATTGAGAAAAATATATATTTAAATAATAATGTAGAATTGAATACGAAAAGGTTGTTTACATAGTTCAATAGAAGAAAAAATAAGATAAAGCAAATGGCTAGCTTGTAAAGCTGATTACATTAAAATATATAAATAAATTATAGCGATAGTTTTAATTTTTGCTTTAAAGTATCAATTAAAAGGCTCAAATAACAACAATATTGTATCACAATACAGTTTTTTTTATTTTTTTTTTATTTTTTATTTATTTATTTATTTATTATTATTGCAGTTCTGGTCAATAACAATATACAAATTTTTTGGTAGATCAATAACGATAGTCCAAATAGGTCAATATCAATGTTTTTGCAGCACTGAAATAATAAAAAAAAAAAATCAAATTCTATTAGGTGATTGCTAAGATATATTCATTAGAAGTTTTAATAAATGCTTAATAAAATAGAAATTGCGCTGAAATTATTTTAAACTTTGGATAGATATATCTCGGCAACCACCTAATAGAATTCGATAGAAATTTGTTATTTCAATTCTGCTAACTTATAGAAATAAATAAAAGGTTTTTACCGAATTCTGTCAGGTGGTTGCTGAGATACATTCATTCAAAGTTTTAAATGCTGAATAAAATAGAAGCTGCATCAAAATTATTTTAACTTTGAATGAATATATCTCAGCAACCACCTGATAGAATTGATGAAAATTTTTTTATTTCACTTCTATAAATTAACAGGATTGAAATAAAAAAATTTTCGTTGAATTCTATCAGTGGGTTGCTGAGATACATTAGTTCAAAGTTTTAAATGTTTAATAAAATAGAAACTGCGTCAAAATTATTTAAACTTTAAATATACAGTATCTCAGCAATTACCTAAAGAATTTGATAAAAATTTTTTTATTCACTTCTACAAATTAGTAAGATTAAAAAATTTTTCATCGAATTCTATTAGGTAGTTGCCAAGATATATTCGTTCAAAGTCCTAAACTTTTAATAGAAAACTGCGTTGAAATCATTTTGAAATTTGAATATATTAACACCTAATAGAATTTGATAAAATTTTCTTTATTTCAATCCTGCTAATCTTATAAATAAAATAAAAAAATTTCTTCAAATTCTATTAGATAGTTTCAGAAATAAAATAGAAACTGCGCTAAAATTATTTTAAACTTATATTTCGGCAATTACCTAATAGAATTCAATGCAAATTTTTTTATTTTACTTCTATAAATCACAGAATTGAAATAAAAAACTTATTGAATTTTATTAGGTAATTGCTGTTTGAAGGTTGATAAAATAAAAATTTTTTTATTGAATTTTATTGGGTAATTGCTGTTTGAAGGTTGATAAAATAAAAAACTGCAGCAAATCATTTTAAACTTTAAACCAAGATATTTTAGTAATTATTTAATACATAGAAGTTGGTAATTCTTTCAATATTAAGTTATAAATCAATATTATTAAATAAAAAAAATTTATCAATTTAATTTAGTTTTCTGGATATTTTCATTTAATACAAGCCAGCAAATTTATTACAGTAAAACAATAATAATTTTAATACAAATTAGCATTATAGCAAGTAAAGTTTATAACAGAATTTTGTTACAAAATTTTTATTTACTGCTTTTGTTATACAAAACTGATTCATT